TATTTTCAAACTTATTTTTGATTCCTTGTTTGTGGTTGTAGTATGCGTTTTAGTAAGAATTTTATTGTAATGCTAGTGACAAGTCAAACCTGTCCCATTTATAATAGGTACTAACCACCCTCGCTTCGCTCGGGTTCGTCCCTAGTTAACGGTTAGTATAGATTTCTCAGACATGAAATATTTTCCCGTAAAAAATATCCTAAATATTGACCCGAATAACCAGCTATCATCATACCAAATTTAATCAAAATCTATCTAGTGGTTTTCTCGTGATACCGTCCCAGACACAGACAAAAGTTTTAAGAACTATAAATTCGGCGTCTGTATCGATAATAATAACTACATATTTCAATAAGATTTCCCTGAAAATATTTATATGTACAGATTCGACTCAGTTAGAATTTTGTTGATGATCCCATAATTGCTTTATCTATTATAATAGGTATTACGTAATTATAAATTATAATAATTACGTAATATAACGTGGGATTAAGAATTTTCAGAGACAGAGAAATTAACTTTTACTTATCATTTCTCCAACCCCCAACTATTTTCGTACAAAAAAAACAATCCGCCGCTTCGCTTTGACGTGAAAGAGCAAACAAACCTACATATTATATTATATTACTACAGGTACGAATTATAACAACATACCTACACGAGTTTAGGTTAAGTGATTTTGTAACGTGGATATTTATTTTTAAAAGTAAATTGTTATTTAATTAAAGTAAAATTTATTAAAGTTGAATAAATAATTCAATCTAATCATCAAAATTTACAATTTACTTTTAAAAATAAATAATTAGTAACTACACACAATTAATAATATTATTAAATATAGGTAGTGTATAAGATAAGTGGGTGCATTTGTACAGTAAAATAGCCCGCCGCGGATCTCTGCGGTCGTAGAGCGCGCATCGGAGGCGAAGAGCCGACAGCCAGTTAAATATGTCACCACCGTTATACGGCCAGCACACGTGACAAGTCGCATTACATGCTACAAACATAACACCACTATTTTTATTTCTTATCGCAGCCGGATGAAATTATCTAGTCCAAGTTTCTAACTTCATGTTTAATTGGAATTTCCCGTATTACATACTGAACTATTCGGAGATATTTCATTTTGACTTTACACAGTTTTATATTAAGAAGATTTTTTTATATATACATAATATGTATACTGTTTTTTCTCATAGCTCTTTTACGTTCAAATATTATCTCGTATGCTAATTGATACGTGGTATCCAATAGATAATACTCGACTCTACCCGTGCTTCTGATTACGCACATATATTGCAAGTGTATAGGTTATAGATTGGCGATTTGAATAGTAAATATTATTGGAATTTTCCGCTGTTGGGTCTAACGATTTATTTTATGTGACGACGCCCTTACGGTGAAAGTAGATTGTTATTGAGGTGCGTACGGGACAAGCACGTGGCCTGTGAGCGTGGCACGCGACTGCCGAATATTTCAACTAAAGTTTTATTTTACTACTCGCTTTTACGTATTACTATGCATAACTAATATTAAAGTCAGTTTTTTTACTATTTATTATATGTAAGATGCTTTCTCTATATTTAATTAAAGTTAATAGTACTTAGTAGTAATTTAATACCTTCAACCAATTAACGTTCTTCACCAAATTATTCTATACAGGAAACATCTAGACACTTAAAAATATAAAAAAATCACAAGTTATAAGAAATAGCGTGCTCAGTTTAGAACTCACGGCCATTTAGCGAATTATAATATACTGCCATGCAATCATTATGCCATATACATATATTAGGATTTCAAATAATAATTTATATTTTTGAAATATAAATTAATCTCACCTGTATAAAATTTCGCAGGAGGTGATATGGTGATCTCATACTTACACAGAATATCATTAGGTATGTTAATAAGAACAACCTACTTTATACTTTTGACGCCTAATATACGCTTATTATTAATTATTTTACTTACTATTATTATCATAATTACCAAGGACCAGAACAAATTTTCTTAAAATAATTTAAGTTACAAAAGAATAAATACGTGCGATGCAAGCAACAGCGTTAGATATCTGGACTATTTATAGTTGCACAGCTTTCCTTAAAGACGCGAAGTTGTCTAGCGGATCGCTAGGAGGTACGAGTATATCATGTTCATGTATAAGATAATTTGCGAATCGTGGTTGAGAGCAAACGAGTACTGATGTTTTGTAAGGAAATCACTAAATTGTGGTTTACAAATCAATATTTAGGTAAAAGTAATAAAGTAATGCAGGGTAAAACCTGTTTAATTTGTGCATATTTCGAATGTTTGGAGAAGAGGCCCGAGTTCGATGGCCGCGTGTCGCCTCCCTGCCTCACGCTACATTTAATATACGAGTGACACCTAATTATGCGTTACATACGCTGGCTTATCAACCAATCAGTACCACTATCACACATCGACACCTATTCTTCGAGGTTTTAATAGAGTTTATTAAATCCACCTTTCACTTATATATGATAGCGCAATAATATTAATATATACATACGTATATTAGGTATTACCATTTACAACAAGAAAATAGGTAGGTACAAAAGCTTAACTGAACATTGCCTGACTTTATCAATTATAGTTTCAATTATTTTATTTCTCTATATAAGTTTTCAGATTCCCCGGTAATATTGCAAACTGATAAACTAGTATACGCGAAAAAACTAATGCTAGAAAAAAATTAGAGTTATCTAAAAGATTAAATTACCTAGGATTACAAGAAAAATAAGCGAAGTGTCTTATACCTTAGTCAGCAGTAACTTAATTTGCCTCAAGTCTCAACTCTTCATTTTGTTGCATAATAATTATAATATGTACTTAATTGGTGCAATATAGTAGTGCCATAATACAAAGTTTTATCTTAATTCTTATTTAATATCGAAGAGTATGTGGCAGACGCTTTCCGAAAGCTCGTGCTGAAGCTTACCTACTCCGATTCATTCGTAACTTTTTGTCTCAAGGGAATGCGAGTCGTCAGACTTTGGTCTGGTCTGTAAGACCAACAGCGCGGGGGGCCGTACCTCGCCCTTTTGTTTTTATACCCGTGCAAGAATGCAAAACAATTATAATTCTCTCAGGGACAAGTCGCCGCGCTCCTCGAGATTCGAGTCTGCAATCGCAAACGATTCTCGTTCTTCTGGTATCTTATTCGAGTTGCGGTTGGGAAAAATATAGCCTTAATTGGATTACACCGGATTACTATAGAACGAAACCTTTGCTTAGACTACATAAAAGCGTAATACGTGAAAAAGTAGTTACGAAAGGAAGAAGGGCGCAGGCGGTCGAGCGTTCACAAGCACCGACTCTGGCCAATCCATTTACGTTAATTACGTCGAGATGGGGATAAATCGGCGTCCAGCCGTCCACCGTCGAGTTACGAGCCGACTATAAAATAAATTATACCCACTTCGTTCGCCTCCACTCAATTTTTTGTTAGCAGCCAAAAAAACAAAAGCAATACTTCGTGAGGACGAAATACGAGGCAAAGACAAAGCTTAAATTTATCTACTGATAATATAGACGTAGGGCGGCGGGCGCGGCAGACGCGGAGTTGCCGGGTGGCCGGCCAAATTATACAGGCGGGCATTCCTGCGCCCGAGCAAAAACATGATATATCGCCGCCTTGTGACGAAATATTTGAAATTTGGAGACCTGCCACACTCTAAATGGAATTCACTTTAAATATTATCTTCAACATTCTTTGTCGACGACGACTTTATAAGCGTTTGCGTGAAATTTTCAGTAAACTTGCTTTATTTACACTTTAAAGACTATACATTTAAAGAGAGGCTTTATTAACGAGGTATATCTATAATAAAATCCTGTGAATATGTCAATCTTGTTATTTTAAGAGTAGGAAAAAGTGTCAGATATAAAAGGTTTAACATTTAATTATAATTTTTTAATAATACCTGTGTAATATTTTTACCCACTGTTATCATATAAAGGCAAATTGATATAGGTATTAATTTTAAACGACATACATTGTATTTCAATAATATTGCGATCATTTAAAGTTCACGTGGTTGAAGCCTAGGAATTTTACTATTTATAAATTATCTTATAACGATATTTAACAAATAATGCAATCCATTAATTAAGTTAGTTTTAATAAGATTTTATAAAAAAAAATTTAATGATTTACCAAATACGCGACTTATTTATTCACCTTGTTAGGTCCCATAACCTAACTTTGACTCATTAATTACTCATTCGAAAAGTTATTTTGACTACAATTTCAAGGTTTTGGGATTGCTGTTAGCTTGAATAGCAGTCATTCATAATTTTGTTCCAAGCGGATGTTATGGCTATATTATACATATAATATGTAATGATGTAATTTTATTTTACGCCTCATAAGCGTAGTTATTGCATTTACGTTAAGTACAGCTTTTTCCCAATATTTATAGTATTTTTGTTATTGTACTATAAATTTCATTATAAAGAAGTATATACTAGAGTGTTAATGTAAATTTCGGAATTTTATATGCTCAATTTTTTTCTAATGATTTAATTCAATACTGTATGTTCAAAATTTTATTCTTGTATCTTAAGATAGTAAGTTCTTAAGGACTTTATACTAAGAATTAAGGTTACATTAAAAATAATGATTAAATCTTTATTAATAAAAAGATATGTAACTTTACTGCATGTTTTAACTATTCAATATGTACCCATAGGTGAAGCGTTTTTGTATCATAGAGTACAATAGGTATGTCTATTTCCTTGCAATACTTGTGCTATATCGCTTTAATAGGTTGGTGTAAAATATGTGACGAACGGTTAAACAATAATACATCTTTAATATTTATATTTTTTTATTACATCATTGTCCTTTCAATAAAATAATAATTACACGATTATATATACAAATAGGTTATGTACAATTATCGAGGCCGCTACTATATGTACACTGGGTCCACGATTTATCACTAGGTCCGCACGAAGCCGTCGTGCCTTTGTCATCGGCATCCACAGCCCACTACCATCATGTCCTGATAATTTTTAAGCACCACATTGTTCACTTCGTCCATATATAACATAGATATAGAAGAAAGTTGCGTGGGAACGCAACACGCTTTCGGTACCGCCGCGGGGTTCACCGAATTGACCAGAGTTTGTACAATCGCATGATTCGTACCATTGAGATGGTCCGCAAGGGGGAACGGACAGTCTCCTTGGCAATAGTACGCGTCATAGCCGTGCGGGGCGACGATCCAGTCGCTCCAGCCGACGTCAGCGAAGTCAACAAATAGCGGCCGACGCTGACAAATTTCTCGCGCCTCTTTACGCCTGTGGTGTGCGCGATGACCTCTTCTCTGAGCTGCGCGTTTGTTGCGCGTGAGCCGTGTCTCACCACGCTCTCTAGCTGCTCTGGCTCGTTCGTCCTCTGTGTATAACATAAGCAAAGGCTGTACTGTCCGCCATACTTCGTCCTCATCCGTCGCACGTCTTCGAACACGCACATGTGGAAATTTTACATTACCCCCCGCACCGTCTTCGATTACGCGAACTAAAAGTCCATGATTGTGTTTTGGCTCCTTGAGCCATCTTCTCGCGGCGTCTAGAGCGTCCGCGGTAACAATGCCCTCTCCAGGTCGGAGGGGTACCGAATCTAGGAGCCTCAAGATTGGTTCACTTTGACCTTTCCGACCGGGTCTCACCACATCGTAGACCATCAGTCTCTGTTTTCCCGTAGTTCCGACGGCCCTCTGCAAAGTGAGGTCCGCACCCCGAGCTATTTCATCGGACGGGACGGCGCTTATGTTGAAAAATAGGCGAAAGCGATGTTCGCCAGGGAAGCGTTCGTCGAGATCGGTGGGGGTGTGGTAGAAGGAACGGGCCGTATTAGCGGCGGCGGCGGGGAAGGCTTTCCTCTGGTCGTAGAGCAGGCGCATGGCGCGCGGCACGAGCGGCGGCGGGCGCAGGCGCGGCGGCGGGCGGCGCGGCAGACCCAGCAGCGCGAGCAGCTGCCTCTCCGCGGCGGCGCGCGTTTCCTCGTCCAGCCCTGCGGCCGCGCAGAGCGCCACCAACGCGCACACCACCGCGCACGCGCACGCCCCACGCATAATTCTCCTCGACCCACCTGTGCCAACAAAAAACCTATATTAGTTATCTTAATTACAAGTAAAACTTCAAATAACTGTAAAGCCGTCTACGTCTAAAAGAAAAATAAATTAACTAAATACAATAGCAAAAAATGTAGCCAATGTGCAACTTAGGCGTTATCGTGATGATACAAACATACATAGAAATTAAAAAGCCTTAAAACATAACCCTTCGTTTTTGCTCTGCAGAAGTCGGGTAGTAAAAATATACTTGTTTTAAAAGTAAAGACATGCTATAAATATATTTAAGAGTAATAATTGAGTTCCAGGAGCAATCTATGCTTTTTGTTACCAGTTATTAAACAAAGCTATGTATTGTACAAAAGCGGTAGTCGGTTTATCTTATTTCTCATTATTCCTAATAAATATACACATTGTAATTTCTACGACAAGAGCATTCTGCATATTTGTTTTAAATAATCATAGGAAACAATAACCTGTAATGTATATTATATTTTATTAGTATAATAATAATCACTGAATTTTCTTTTTTTTATGTTAGAATTTAAAAAAATAGTGTATTAGAAATTGTAATGACGATTGATAAAAATAAGACGATGACAATCTGTTGCGTTACATCATGCATTAGTGTTTATTTCCTTGCAAGGCTTACTAGAGCGAACCATATAAGGAAATTTAACGACACTATGACATAAGAATTCCTTATATGATTAAAACTATAAATAAATATCAAATATTTGATGTTACGATTTTATTCAATAGTTTCTGTTTAATTTTTGGACGTAATAGGCACCTACTATTTAAAACTCAAGTTTTACGGATTCTTTCAAGTTCAAACACCGTTTAAGAAAAAACATAACGCACAATAGAATCCTGGAGCGTGTAGCAAAAGGCTCCTTTATTACTGAATGGACTTATAAATCATTAGCTATTCTTGTACTGAAGGACTGTTTACTTTTAATGTTATTATGAGTTCAGAATTGCATTTCTTTGCATATTACATATTATGATCATATAATAATAATAATAATAAATATCAAAATACCTATCTTAATAGTAAATTAAGTTTATGTTATTTATTACTTAAATATCTAAATATTGAAAAAGAAACGTTTAATAATTTATGCAAAACCTACCTTATCTGTTTGTTTAATATTCTACGAACATACTTGTTTTATTCAAGCAATTTGTATGGCATGAAATGTAAGTTACAACCTCAATAAAAACGATGATAAATAGGTAGGTATTCAACGTAACCTTTGATACCTACGGCTTCTGCATAATTTGTTTATTTACTAACAAGCCAGCTTGTTTGAAATATTATATGGTTACTAATTTTATGTCTACAATTACAATGTACCTACTTATTCTCATATTTAAGATCTTCACACACAGAATAATTAAAACAGCTGCTAATTTAATATAGCATGATTATATAAAAAATCATGTATAGTTAATATTTTTGTTTGAAAGAATAATACCTTAATTATTTAAATATTTAAAAACAATCTACAATTATACTATTAAATATTTCTTCAGACAAATAAAAATTGACAATATCCGTAACTTAAAAGCATCAACTTAGTTCGATTTTCACATTTTAATCTTTTGTCGTAATCACTTGTAAGTAGGTGCATCATATCATATTCATAGAAAATGTGATATTTGAATTAATTTGACCATTTGTATTCATAATAATGACTCCAAGAAAATGCAAATCACATTACATATATTTATTACGAATGAAAGAAACTATGATTACTAGAGTCAGCTGGTACTTGTTTATTATTTTAAAGCTGAAGCTGCTTACTTTTAGCTAGAGTAATTTATTGAAACAAATGTGTCTACATTTGTGTTAATTGATATTTGGAAATGATATTGAGTTAAGTCTCCAATATAATATATTTATCTTCTTTATTTGTGAAATAATAAGTCAAATATACATATATTAACAAATGAATATATCATTGATGCATAATAATATTACTTTTCCCCAAATTTAAATTTTCTTTAGGTGTTGCAACTCTATTAACAAGTCTTAAGTAAAAGACTTCAACGAGATACATTCTCTTGATATAGGTCGATAAAATTATTTGCTTTTGCCAGTTATCACACTTTCTTCGACAATATTAAAATGTAAAAAGTATAAACTATATTAAAACTTATCTTGATTAATATTTTATATATGTGTAAAAATTGCAACTTTTATGTTTGATATTTCTGTTAATAATGTATTAGGTATAATTAAAAGATGTTTACAACAAATGTATCAGTGATAGATGATATCGAATACGTATTTGTTTTTTTTATAGTGTTTTGATCGCTCTAGCGCGGTCGACCGGTCATGGCGTACGTATTTCGAAAATAATGCGGTCAAACCAGCCGCAGGCGCACGATCGCTCGGCTCTCTCACTCACCCGAAATTTTAACGCATCCAACGTCGATAGTTACACAAAATCCGCAATCCGTGATATCTCTGCGCGAGCGAAAAGCGCGTACAGTCAACGCTTCGGGAACAAATGGAACCGCACTCGTTCACGATCGAACCGTTGGCACATAACAACAGAGCGGGCGGGTAACATCACTGGCGCGTGGTTGCGCGCGAGAGCAGCGGCGCGCGCGACGTGCGTGTGCGGGCGGAGCAGAGACGAGCATGACGTGCTCGCGACACGGGTCTCGCGGCGGGAATGAGAGGCCGCTCCAGACGCGGCGGCGTCGGCAGGCCGGCCCGGCCGTGCCCCGCCCCTCCCCCACCCCACCCGCCTCTCGCACCCCGCGCACCCACCACCACCCGCGCCACCCACTACCATCTCGCCCCCATCGACCTACCCCGTGCCCGACGCCGTCGATGATACCTACTAATCTACCTTACCGCACATATTAGTCGACGACACTACATGCACCAATATAAGACATTTTTATTTAAAACGCATGAAATTGATACAAATATATTATGTAGCCGTTGAGAGTTTATCGCAAGGCCACTTTCTACTTTATCAATTTCACATTCAATGATATCAGCTCGTAAACAACCGCGCATTACACTACACTATTGAACGTTTCTAAGAAAATAACTAGAATAAGCTTTCGGATTTCCCTTCTATTAAAAATATGTTATTTATTTCAAAAATAATTTATAAAAAAGGTAACATAGTTTTATGCAGAATTTTGATACATGTAATCTTTATTACTACTTAACTTTGTTAATTTACGCAATAGTTCTTTAAAGCTTTTAAAGCTTAATATAATAAAAATAGTTTTTCTATTAAATGCTTTAGAGAGTTAACATTTCATTTAAATCATGTTGTAATAAATCATAAAAAATGTTAAAAATACAAATTTATTATGTGTTTTAAAAATAATATTAAGTCGTTCTTAATTTTTATACATATTAACACGACTCCTAAAAATACTGTAAATAATATTAAATAATAAATAGCTTATAATCGCGCAAAATTTTATATTTTTTTATAGTAAAAGTCTAAACGTTTACCTACCTAATTTCGGTAAAAATATTATAGTCCAAAAAATCCAGTACCGTGATGATGTACGAGTACCACTTATCACTGTCCTTTACATAAAACTAAGCTTTTGATGCGTATTTATGTCACATAAGGCGCCTCGGAATCACTGAGCGGTGTTTAAATAAATAGTCGTAATTATAAGCGGGCTAGACTATGTGGCGGACTCATCATGAGTGGGGGTAGGGTGAGCGAGACAGTGGGCCATTTCTTGATTTTCCGAGAAATCCCCACCGTTATCTACTGTATATTATATAAGCCGTAATAACATACCCCAAATGAGAGAGGGAAATGTAACCTTTGTTAATTAATTATATATACACATACATATCGATTTACTATGACATATGGAATTAATCTTGGTAGTAATAATATTTACTATTTGATGAATATTAAAAAAAAACAGGAATATTTTAATTTGCTATCCATACTCTACAATTTAAAAAATTACTAAACCTTAATGTGATAAAACTTAAGTTAAATTAAGTGTACATTAAAATAATTAAATGTTAAATAAAAGAGAGCCGTCAAAAATGTTAATGCGTCAACGGTAAAGTTATTTTTCAAAACAGGTAGGTACTTAGTCAGCAATTTGCTCATTTCGTTCCTGTACAATTGGAGTAGCGACACATTTACAGTTTATTTCACAGAGCTTCCATTAGTCACAAACCATACCGTCTACGATAAGCGAACAAAAAGTAACTTTATCAAAAAACAACAAAGTATTTCCGTTTATTTTAATACCTTCGTTGTAAACTTTTCACGTCCAGCAGATGGGCTTAAATGTTTTTAATCTATTTCCTGCACATGTTTAAACAATAGATAAAACAATTAAGATTGTGATATAAAAGTAAATATTGCGATGAAAATGGTATCTTACGTACGAAGTGCGCGCTTGAGCGATGAATGTGCCTGTTAACAATATGAAGCTTCGCAGGTGCCAAGAGATTTTATTTTGATTACAGCCAACGCACGTGCCTGAACAGATGGTATGATATAAAATGCGTTTTTCATGAAAGAATTGCTTTGCATACAAAAAATACCATACATGTGTACTATAACTTGTTCTGATAGTAATATCTTTATTAATGACAGACGCAATTAACATTTTGAATAGAATAATTCTTATTAGTCCTCAAAATAAATTTGAAATTTAATAAAAAGTATGCGAATCTATGCAATATGAAATATAGCAAAAAATACAACATACCAATTTTTTAAATATCTTTTATTTTTTTACGAAACTGTTTTTTATTACCTTAAGCATATTTATTTTGATAATTTTTGGAGTATTTTGCTATATAATAAGACTGTAGAAGTATTTGAAAATAAGATGCTTATGTACATAAAGTAGTTGTTTGTATATATGGCATAAATATTTATCCTAGATAGTAGATATATTCTGTATAGTTTATCCGCAGTTTTCTATTGTTTTCTTAGAATATAATACAGGTACGTTTTAAAATACATTTTAATTAAAAAATATTATTAATGTTACTATTACACCTAGATTAGGTATGTATGTATGTACTTTATATAGTATTAGAATATAAGTGGATGTGCCAACGCTATAAAATTTTTAAATTTCGCATATAAGCATTTCAAAGGTCCCTATTTATATTTTGAGTTCTTCAACCAAAGGATTTAGCTCTAATTATTCCAATTCTAGGTCGTTACTGTTTGCTATTATTCCGTCCGTTTGTGCAACAGTGAAAGATATTTAATGGTCTGATGAGAAGATCTTTAAATCTCTATAACAGTTAGCCACATGGTAAATTCAAAAAAATGAAAATAAATTAAGCGGAGTCCACAAAAAGAAAATTACAAGAAGCTGGGAATGTTTTTGCTCCAGCGTGGAAACAATAACATGTGTCCTATAAATTATTAAAAATTTAAAAAATACACAATCACATCACACACAACAAACCCAAAAAAAATCTCAAATACAATTGGAAAAAGGACTCCTTCAAACGCCAAAAATAATTCCCGGTTGTCATTAAGTAAACAAAAAATAGAGATAATATAAACATACATACCCCAAAGTTGGAGTATGTTATTCCATTTCCCGGGGGAGAAGCCAACTCCTACCGGGCGCGTCCCCAGGTGGCGGATAGGGGAATGCCACCCGCTTAGGGCGGCGGGTGGTACCGGAGAAATCCGGCGCGGACCAAATGGCTTGGATGGGGCCGCTCGTCTAGGCCTCGAGCCGAAGACGTTGCGGCCACCGGTGGTGGGACCGCTTGGTCCCACAACCGGATGATGGGTGCCGGTTGCGGGACTGTGGTCGCAGGCCCGCATCCGGCGGAGGGGTAGGCCGCGGCGGGAGAGGAGTGCCGGTATTTCGGTGCGCCGTTCTCCCTACCTTCCGCGGTCTAGACGGGGCCGCCACCGTTTGATGGCGGACGCGGTGGGGCTGCAGGGGAAGAGGAGTGTCGGTGTTTCGTTGCCGCTCTCCCTGTCCTCTGCAGCCGATTGGAGGTGGCCCACTTCGGTGGGCGGAGGTTCGGTTTTATGGAGCTGCTCCGGGTACCTCTCTGGTGTAGCAGAGTTGACTGTGGAGCAGCCCCATCGGTGTGGTGGTCAGCCGTTGGCAGACCTGCCGCCGGGGCGCCGTAGTAGTTATGCGCAAGCGATCCTGCGGCGTCCCATTAAGGCGGAGGGGAGGGGAATGTCGGGTTTTAGTGGGTAGTACCGGCTCTTCTAGCCGGTGAGCCCCACATCACCACCTGGGGGATCAGGTGGTATGCGTAAATGCATTTCCCGACATAAAAAAAAAAAAAAAAAAAAAAAAAATGTTATTCCATTAAGAGGGTAATTTCTTTGGTTTCTATTAAATATGACTTATTAAATTGGAATTATTTTTGGCAAGTAACGTACCAAAAAAGTCGTAGATACAGTAAAGACTCCTTAATGAAGTTACATTCCTTCAGCTACATTTCGCTTGGCGCACAAAGTTTACATCTCGGTCACTACCACATTTGTTTTTAAGCGCGCTCTATGAAAACCTACTTACCGGGCTAACTGATCTGATGCAGACTATCCTACTACCAGCATCAGGTCAAGGTTAACATAAATAGTAAATATTCATTTATTTAATCTCATTTAATTGCCATGTTAGTAGTCTGAATCGAACTCTACCACCGCTTACTATATTTAACATTCAATATCAATATATACTCATTCACTCGAGCCCATTAACTGAAACATTCTTTCATTCACTTAACCACATTCATAAATATTATTCTAAATCCTCATAAACGGTATATACTAAATCAAAATGTCATATCGATTGAATGAGTGAAAGTAGCTCAAAATTCGTAATCAATCTATGCTTGTTTCTCTATCCTGCTCTAACATCAGATCCTATCATCCTGGTCACAATGTGTTAATGGTCACAAGGTGTCAATGGTCACAAGGTGTAAATCGCTCATACCCCTTTACCGTCCAGAAAAGAGCTGATTTTGCAGGCAGCAGACAGTTGAAGTCACCTTTCAAATAAAAAAAAGTGGGTGCGTGTAACTTTTACGTGCGGTTGAAGTAAAACTTCTTTGGCAAATATCGCAATTAAATTAAAACAAATCAATAATTAAATAAGACATATTAGGCATATTACAATCATATATTTATAGAATATCATATACGTTAAAGAATATAATATTATATATTTGTCAGACAATAGCAACGGTTACCATGGCAATGTGGCAATATTCTGTCCCATTCTCTCGCCGGCTTAATCTCGTATATATTTATGTGTTTGTCTCTTTTTAGAGTCGCATTTTTGCTTCATCGAGTTTCAAATCACAACAATTCTATAGAAGTTTCACTTCCAAAACTAAATTAAAATCGGTCCATCTGTTTGGGAGCTACGATGGCACAGGCAGACATGCAGATACAGATAGTACTTAGACACGTGTGTAAGGTTAAACTCATATCACCTCTCTTTTTGCGTCGGGGGTGCAAAATAATAAAAACTACCAGCATGAACTCGTGCAAAATTTATATATATTTTTATATACTTTATTGATAAATAAATACATCACGTACGTAAATTATTTGATATTTAATACAAGAATATTATATGGAACCATTCATGTGTAATTTTATAAAGCCGACAGCTTCCATTAAGTACCTATACCTATTTTTTATGCAGTATTTTTCATCTCGATGTTTTTCCTGCAATGTCTATGTTACATCTTAGAATAAGATCTTATTAGACTCTATTTAAACAAAGAAAGTCTTCTAAGACTCTTATTTTACTAATTTTAATTAAAAATCTCTAGAATTTTTAG